AAGTTTTATCGCAGATAACTCTATGATGGACTCTACCAAACGACATATGCATTTGTTATGTAGATTAATTTAGCCAAACAGGACCTAAGAAGGAGATCAAATGATTTTGACTCTATTGGGACTACGCAGAGGTGACATGCAAATAACTGTTTTCCTTAGTTTAACCCATGCCAACATGAGTATGCGCTATTAATAATCGTGTTTAATTTCAAATTATTTATTTCTTTGTATGAGTACTAGATTTCTTTTATGCCAAAAGATGTTATGCTCCTGCGGGAGTATGATGTCCATTTACTCCCTCGAGTAAAACCCTACCTAGAAATAATTGTAAGACCTCAAATTTTAAGGATGTAATCTCTTTAATCCATAGATTGACCTCAATAAAAAAATTCCTAATTGTACCCCATTTGAAAATGTAAAGTCTCGAAATTGAATAGAGACTGTCCAAGTTTTAGATAGTAAGATCTAAGCGATAGAAAATTCAAATTTATTTTATTCTGAGAATAATATTTAGTAATTCTCATATCGATCTAATGCACACAATAATCTGTTTTTTTCAAATATTTTTTAGTAAATTAATAACTAAAATTGATTGATTCGGACACAAAAAAAAGGAAATATTTCTACATTCACAAAAGATAAATATTTACTTTATAATATCTTCTCGATTCATTTCTAGATCCAATTAATGCGTCACTAAATCATTATCATGTATCATGACCTAAGGGAGTAGAATTAAACAATGCTATCGAAAGAACATAGTATAGCTATTGAGGGAGCATAGAATATGTCTCATTTTTTTTTATTCATTTCCATATTGAACGCCTCTTAACTCCATATTTTCTTCCCCATTATTTTATTTCTATTATATTCAACTTACATATTTTTGTTCTAACGGCAAGATGCAAATGGAAGATACATTTGCTCTTCTCAAAGCATCAATATCCATGGCCTCGCTCAAATTTTAGCTTCCAAATACCGAGAGTTCAAGATCCCTAGTAAGAAAACTAAGCGTTTCTTTTGCCTTTAACTAACTTTATTTTTTTAAAAAAAAACTTTAACTATTTCAAAGATGTAGAAGATATTTGCACTATCAAGCTTTATCGCAATTATTTGAGGTCGGCTATATAAAAAATAAAATATACTATATTTTTTGGACCGATTAACAGAAACAATATATTGTACGCTAATGGTGTATAGTATACGACATAATTCACTCCAAAATTTTTGAAGTATTCTCATGGATGAGAGAGACCTATTCTAGTAGAATTTTTGGAGTATTCTCATGAATGAGAGAGACTTATTCTTTCAGGTGCTTTCCCTTCTAGGTGCGGTTCTCCCTCTCAGTTTTGGAAATATCAAGTCAAGCTGTGTGCTCGGCCCTCGTCCGAGTAATTTGGCTTGGGCCGAGTTCTTGCCAAGCCAAAAAGTGTTAAAATAACAAATATAAAATTATTTAAAAAAAAAAAAAGTTTAAAGTAAATTAAATAGAACACATGTAAAACGAGGTTAAAAAAAATAGATTTTGAAAAACCCAAATTGTGAGGAGTATTTTAGAAATAATCTAAAAATAATAGAATATGTAAAATGTCAAAACACTTTGCAATCTTCGATAAAAAAACATATTGCGAATATAGTTCTTGTTTTCAAAAAATTTTATAATTATTTTTAAGATCTCCACCTAACTTAGGAAGACTCGGGCTTATCAAGGTGACGAGTCCGAGTTATATCGCTGGAAGCAATGCTCCGTTTTTAACTCTTGCTGACCTTTTGTTCTTTTCGATGTAGTCCTTTCTTGAATTTGGCTCCAAAATTTGCCTCAAGAAACTAAAAAGAAAAAGAAAAAAGGCACTTAAATATTTGAAAAAGAGTGCATATTGCGTACCATTCTAAATTTTATGGCTTAAAACTTTTAAGTTAAAAGTGATAGTATCGATCTAACCTTAAAATGAAGGAAATTGCAGAAAGCAGCAAAAAACCAATTCGCTGTGGGGCGGAAAGACAAATTAAAATCTCTTTAAAGAGGTATTCAACGTCTGTCAACCCTATATACACAAACAACTCAAAATATGTGCATAACAATCAAAGAGGGAATGAGTAAAGAGACGCGTCGGCTTTAACGCCCTTGTTCATGTTGGTGTGTGCAAAGAACCCTGGCCTTGACAACACCCGCATCCACATAGAACCCCGGTGCCACCATGACCGTCACCTTCAGGCCCCCGACCCTTCGAGCCACATCCTCCATGTATGCCCCTTCGAACTTCGCACCGACCCCGACTCGAAACACCTCGAACCTCGGGTGCACAGCCCCTGCCAGCAACCTCACCACCCACACACCGCGCGCGGCTATGAAAAAGGCCTGAAGCAATGGCTCCGGCCACGCAGCTCGGCCCCAACCCAATGCACTCACCACCGCGCCCATCTTCGCGTCGCAGAACCGGCTGAACCCCTCGCTGAAATGGCGTGTCCCCTTGCTCAAAACCTCCTCCCAATTCAAGGCCTTCATGGCGACGTGGTCCGAATAGTTGGCCTCGCACCTGGCTCGAGGGTCGATCAAGCCATCTACCGAGCCAAAATTCTCGAAATCTGCGTAGAAGGCTCGGCAGAGTAGGGCCTCGAGGTGGACCTGGCGTGCGGCACGCGCGCCTGCCTGCCGTGCAAGAGCTCGAACCGCGACCCGTGCGTCGGCCACGGCTTGAGCGAACTGGTCAGCCACTCGCACCCGATCGGCGCCCCTCGGCCCGACGCACCACGCCGAGTGACCGTGTGGGCTCGACACTCCCAGCCTCTCGTCGAGTGAGTTTTTCAGGCCTAGGCAATGGATCTCAAGGCGAGCGAGCTTCTTCTCTAGGTCGAGCACTGAGGCCCTCAGCCTCGTGGCCTCGGCACTGGCTTCGTCGCGCTTTCTCGTGGCTTGCAGTAGCTTCTGGGTCAGGTCGGAAACGGTGAGGCTCCATTGCTCCTCTATGGAGGACTGAGTCGTTTTTGGGCTGCGCTTGGTTAGAGAGAGAAAGAAGGCTTTGATGGCGTTGCTGGCGTGACGGGGCGAGTTGGGTGTGTGGCTCGAGTGGTGGCTCGCATCGAGGGGGACGATCGAGATCTTGTCGCGGCTGGAGGGGCGACAAGTGCTACAGGAGACCGACTTCCCGGTCTGGTTTTGGGTTTTCCGGCTGTGGCGGTGGTGGAGGGGCGTGGCTTGGTGCTTGGAACCGTGGCTTGAGCGTGGCTCGTGGGATGGGGCTTGGGGCTCGGACCCTGGGCTTAATTTGGTGGTCTTGCTCTGTTTCTCTTCTTGCTTTGTTTCCACTTCCTCTTCCTCCTCCTCTTCTTCCCCTTCCCCTTCTTGGATCTGTAGATTCAGAAGTGGTTAGAGAAAATTGAGGAAAACTCATGAGATTTTGCACTTTTCAATTAAGAAATGGGCTTCATTGAAGTGGCTTTGAGTTCCATTAAGAATGCTTTTGAGCTTGAATCACAGTGGTTTTTGAGCACGAATCATATTGGTTTTGGGCTTGATTCAGATTTCAGAATGGTTTGGTCTCAATTAGGAGTGGTTTTGAGCTTGAATCTCAGTAGTTTTGGGCTCGAATCTGGGTTCATTATGAGCTTGAAGTAAACTACTTCTGTGCTCAATTCAGAGTGGTATTCAGCTCCATGAAAACTGGTTTTTTAGCAAACTACTTCTGTGCTCAATTCAGAGTGGTATGCATCTCCATGAAAACTGGTTTTTGAGCTTGATTCGATTGAGCTTCCATTAAAACAACTTGAGAACTTATATTTTCAAAGTGGGTTTTGATCTTACCGATGGAAAAGCAGGTAGAGATTGAGGAGAAGGCGCCAAGCCATTGATAGCTCCACCCGCCATGGCCGCGTTATGGGGTCTCTGTAAAAGCGCGAATCCTATGTAAATTGAGGTTGCAGAGAAGTTGGGATTATGCGTTTATTAAGGTGGGGTTTTAGTGAGTGTCATTTATGAGGGTCTATCTGCTCACCTGCAAGGTCTTTAATGGAGGGGGGAAGTAGTGGGGTTGTAATAATATGGGTGGGGAGTGGAGAAGCAGAGGTTCATGTGAGTTTTAATGGCGAGTAGGTGAGGGTGGTCCAGTTTGGCAGAGACCAGAGGACTGTCGTTAGCGACGTGGTTCACGTGCCGGTGTTTATTTCTGGGTGGAGTTTTGAGAGATAAAGAGAGGAGTGGAGGTACATGGAGTTTAGACTTTAGAGAGAGAAAGTCGTTTTCTGTGTTTTCCCTGTATTTCAAGGAATTTCCTTGCAAATATGTATCGAGTGTGGCCAAGTTTAGAGAGAGAGAGAGAGAGAGGGAGGGGGAGAGTGTTTTACAGAGAGAGGGGAATCGTGCACGTACGGGTGGCAATGGGCTAGGTCTGGTTCCACCTGGACCCAACTCGGGTCAGGGTTTTGGACTGAGATCCGACACTTGGACCCGGACCTGACTTGGCTCCAGGGTTTTGGACCCAAACCCATCTGGTCCAAAACTTGAACCTAGACTTGGATGCAGATCGTCTGATTACCACCCTTACGTGCATGGACTACATAGCCTTGTATAGAGAGAGATCGTTAGTTAGGGCTGACAACTAACTGCTTGGGCCAGCCTTGCCCCTAGCCCAGCCCTACTTCTCACATGCCGACCTAGCCTCGGCTTAGACAGGTTCGTCCAACTTTGACTAGGCCAAAAAGGCCGTGCCCAAGCCCGGCTTAGCCTTATAACTGTTGGGCGGCCAAATAAATGAAAACAATAAAGAAAAGAAGGTCCGGGTTGGGCCAAACCGGGCCGAAATCTTCACCTTGGTTCTACTTTCGAGCCATGGTTAAGATTATTACGATTCCATTACTAAATTGATACATCGAATAGAAGAAATATCAATTTTTTGAGATTCTTCATTTCTTCCAACAAAATGAAGAGAGATAGAATCAAATCTATTTTCAAAAGGAAAAAGTTTATATAAGGATGCAACCTTATAATGTAAAACTACGGATACACCTCAAAAATCCATCGAAAAAGGTAGTTTTAATATTAAAAAACCCTTTAATTGATCATCTCAACATCGAGATGTATGACCATGAAAAATAAAAAGATTTTTAAGTCTAAAAAATAGTGCATTTTACAACATATTATCTACACCATCCATTTTCAAAAATTTCATATGTTTATAGAGCTACTTGATTTTAACCATTTTTGAAATTTAAAATTTGATAATTAGATATAAAAATAGATTTTGAGATAATATTAAAAACATTTTACATCAAAATTATATACCATGATAAAATTTAAAGGTACGCCTTATCTACAGCTACGGAAGCATCCGTATGCCAACTGCACCCTTTCCAAAATGCCTTTCTAATATTTCTTAATGTCCCAACTATTACATTACGTGAGAAGCACATGAATAATCCTCTATTTTGGCTAAGTCTTGTGGTAGGCCCTAGTTTTCGAAGGTCAAGCCCATTGCCACCCCTAATTTTTAGAGTGCGAAGACTTCAATGTTATTGGTATTTCGATACTTACCCGAGTTTCATGCGTGGGAGTTTGCGTTGGTCTCTCAAAGAGGAAGCGAATCAAGAGTAGAATTGGGGTGGTAGTGGTAGTATCACTTGTGCCCCCGTTAAAATCTAGACTTCTATTCTTAGTACCACTTGGGCCTCCGGTAAAATCTAGACTTCTATTTTTAGTACCACTTGTGCTCCCGCTAAAATCTAAACTTCAATTCTCATTTAACGTATTAAAAAATAATTAAAAAACGAGTAGAAGCTTGTCATCCTCACTGAATTACCTAAAACAAAGAGAGGAAGTGGATCAAACAACTCCCGAAGTATGGGCCACAAGTTTGGAGAGAGAGAGAGTTGACTTACTAGAAAGAGAAAGCAATTTTAGAAGGGAGAGAGTGGACGAAATGAGAGAGCCAAGGAGAGTACTTTTTTTTGAGGTTGTGGAAGTACCGATGAGCTTAGGCTTGACTTCATGGAACAAACCTAGCCCTTAGATGAAGCAGGAAGAGTACTTTTTTGATCTTTCAGCTTGGGACTGGTCCTAGTGGTAGCACCTCCATATTCATTCATCGTGGTGGCAGCACTTCAATATTTTAGTTTTCAAGTTTTCATTCTTGCTAACATTACCCCATTAATATATTAAAAAATTAATTATTAAACTATTTTAAAAGATTAATTTTTAAACCGTCTTCCACAATGAATTACTCCAAAAAAAAAAAAAAAAACAAAAATAATGAAGGCATACAGGACAAGCATATGAAACCGCAGCTATGTAGGCAGTAGAAACCATCATTCAAGGGTTGAATTTTTTTTACAGAATTATGGTGGGGTCAAAAGATTTTCGAGTAAATAAAATAAATATTTCTCCTTTTAAGGGATATTTAAAAAAATATTTCCAAAAGTTGCTAATTTATGAGGATATCTATTTTTTTTCATTTTTAAAATTTCTAAAATACCTCCTTGTTCGGCACTCTTAAGCACCGGAATTGTATGTTTGCAAAAATTAAACGTCTTTGGTACTCGAGAGTTCCGAACTGGGTTAAAAATTATGCCCAAAAGCAAATTTGGTACTCCAAAAATAGGGTATTTGCAAAATCAAACATCTTACGTGTCAAATCAAAACATCTTCAGTACTGAATTGGGTTAAACATTAAGCCCAAAAACAAATTCACAGTCCTAAATTGAACTGAAAAATAATTCAGTGCCCTAAGTACTGAACTATGTTGAGAGATGTCCCACATAAAGATCAACACTTAAAAGAGTGCCGAACAAAAAGGCATTTTGGAAAAACAAAAAATACAAAAAAGGACATCCCCGTAAAAAAGCAACTTTCAAGGATATTTTTTAAGAGAAATGATCCTATAGGACCCTTTTCCATTTATGTATGTAGGGCTTCAAAGGATCGCCATTAAATTTAGTACGGATCTATAGAAAAGTTAAGTCCTACACCCATGTGATCATTTTTCTAGAGAGTCCGTGACAATTTTAATGTTGATCTTTTAAGATCCTACACACATGGGTGGGGAAGGTTCCTATAGCATCATTACTCATTTTTAAAATATCCTTACAAAATGGAATTTACTTTAATTACTCAAAATTTTAATTAATATTTTTAATTGTATTAACTCTACTGCCTCTTCAAAAACTAATTTTAAAAATACTCAAATTGCTCTCGTTAAGGATTAGAACCCTGAATAATCAATGGTATTTCAGTTATATTCAAAGTATTTTAATATTTTCAAAGTTTGTAAAAAAAGAAAGTATTCTAATACTTTCATCATTTGGTTGAAGCAAATTATTGAAATGTTTTTGTTTGTTTTGCTTTCTAGCTTTAAATATTGGTATTTTTGAATATATTTTCTGAAGAATTAAAATGAAATTTGAAAAGTAAACATTCCGGCGTTAATTGAGATCATTTAACCATGTTAAGGATTTTAACATCTTAACTCATATTTTTCTCATGAAGTTTTTAAATGTATTTTCTTTTTAAAATTTGTTTTTTTAGTTGTAAAAATATCTTGAGAATGAGATGACTAGGGGAAGTAGGTGTCTGATGCTAGAACAGTTAGGAGGCATGTAGAACACAAAACTTCTAGGGCTTGTTTGATTTCTAGAGAAAATAGTTTTAGAAATTGCGTCCTCGAGAAGTAGATATCCCAAGTTTCATGGTCGCTCGTGGAACTGACGGTATCCATTTTTAACCTTAAATATAAAACAAGTAGATACCGTGACTCAATTTTAGTATATAACTTCCTCGTTATTAAACATGGAAGTCCTATAGTATTAGAAGACACGACATATTCCATAAACCAAACACGCCCCTAGTGTGAGAATATAGACTTCTAGAGAGAGAAAGCATCATTTTTATGATGTATGGATGCAATTGTGCTAGGTAAGAGAGCGGATAAGTAGAGATCGTATAGGGGTTATAAAGGGATATATCATCGTTTTTGGTATAGAAGTTCTTATATCAATGAGAAACACCCTACTTTTGAGTAATTGGAGATACTATTGTTTTTGATATATAAGTTCCTATATCAATCAGAAATGCCTTACCTTTCGAGTGCGGCTCCTATATCAATGGGAAATGTCTTACCGTTGAGTGGGGTTTGAACTATTGATTTACTTAATTGGAAGGTAAAATACTATTTTATGTGGATCAACAATAAATTGGCAAAAACAATGTTTAAGATGCCGTGACTTATGACCATGCACATTGGGAAATGTAAATGCATTTGGGGTAGAGAGAGAATGTAGAGAGTTATTTTTGAAACAAGAAGAAGAGAGAATGCAGAGAATTACTCCTCAATATTTAAGGAAATGTCAGTTTATAGAGATGAATAAAATTGGAGAGAGACCAGTTCTGCGACAAGGAGCGACGTAATAAAGAGCAGGTGTACTATGCTTTTGTGGGAGCTTATTGTATATTTATTCCTTCAGGCATAAAGTCTATATAGAAGGATTTTTTCAGTCTGAAATTTTTGTATCGAACCAAGAATCACAAGATGATTAATTTCAAAAGAAAAAAAAGTTGGATTTTGAGTTCTCTAACTCTTCTCACCCTTCAGATCTCTATTCAATCTTAAAATATTGTTTTTTTAAAGCCCATAGAGGATGTGATTTGGAATTGTTTAGGGTAAATATTATTTAAAGAGTTAAAATCCCTCTCAAAATTATTGAGAGGATCAAAGATCCCAATTAATTCTAGGGGGTTTACTTTTTCATTTTTATTTCGCAAGGGCATTTTCGTATCGTTTATATTCAATAATGCTAAGGGCATTTCAATAATTTGACTCACTTGGAATAAGTTGGGGCCTCTTAGGCAGCTCGATTTACTAAAATGTCCATGCTTATTTAGAGCCCTCAACCCTGAATATAGATAATTTGGGCATTTTTTAGGATACTCTTTGAAAAGGTACCTAAGTAAAAAAAAAATTGAAGAGTAAACCCTGAATCTAAATTAATACACTTCAATGATTTTGTAAGGAGTCATGGCCCTATAAATGATATTTTCCTCTTTTTTTTATTGAAGTCGGTATATGAACTCAAGATGTTACATCTCCAAACTTTGGGGTCCTAAACATACTCCTAGATTGAATTTTACTCAAGGGAGTAACAATAGACTTCCATGGGAGCATGAAATCTTTTT